TTTTCCCCTGGTTTATTCCACTGACCTCTGCTAAGAGGGTTCTGCTATCGTGCGATCATGGGGTGCCCTGGAATGTGGTGTGTGGGAGAGCGGTTGCTTCTCCCGGTGTTGGGAAACATGTGAGAAGATGGATTGCATGTGAGGTTGGGGTTGGACATCTCAGGGGACCTGTGGCCCTTCTTTGCATCAGTGTCCAGCTGCCAGTCCCCATTGTCATCCTAATGGGCGAGTTTCTGAGGATATGGGGGCAGGAAAAGGGAATGAAGGTACGGAGAGGCTGTCTGTCCAGGGCAGAGAGGGAATTGCCATACGGATCCCCACTGTGTATACTGTGTGCATCAAGAAAGGAAGTCCCGGCACCTGTTCACTAACCACTGGCTAGTTCCTAACCACATTCCTTCGCTGGTGGCAGGTACCTGCGTCTGCTGTGCAATGTCTAGTCCTCTCTATCAGCCTACCTCATTGCTCTCTTCTTCTTCTTCCTTGTTTGACCCTGGGACTAATACTTGGCACCATTCTGGTTACCGCCTCCTTCCTTCCTAAGAGGACTCATTTCCGATGCTACCTAAGCCATGCTCTGCTCTGTTAGAACACCCTCCTCCTCACACGCTTGCTGTCGGTGCTCCAACCTCTGAACGCTTTCTCGCTCTCCAAATGAGAACAACAACGACAAGGGCATCTTAGAGAAAGAAGCAGGAAGAAAAAAGCCCACCTGTTTGAATAAAAGAAAGTTCAACTCAAGTGTAATGCAACCAGAGTTGAATTCAGTGGATGGTATACTTCTCGATTTTAAACTATATATACGTTGGTCATCATTGTTACCAGGAAGCGAGTCCAAGCTCAGAGCTTCTCCATGCCTCGGGTGTTCTTTCACACTGAAGGAAGGTCTCAGGCGAGAGACCAAATTCTGACCGGAATCTGAGAAAAGCTGTGAACAGAGTGAGTGAGTTTGGTGAAGGGGTTACTTTGAGAATGACTCCAAAGGGCTTTTAGCTAATTTTAAAGGCCTGGAAAAACATAGAGCTGGTCCTTCTGTTCTGCTACTGGCAGCCCCCTCACCCAGGCTAGCTTTCTGGTGGGTCTTCAGCTATTGGCTGGTTCTCTGTAGTGTACCTCCTCTTTCTAGGTATCTGCATCCCAGCACCCCAGACTTCACTCTTGTCTCAGACCCAAACCCAAGAGCCTATCCAGTCATTGTAGGGGTAGTGTGAACATCTTGTCTTTCTCCACCCAGTCTTTTCACGGTCACTGGTCTCTTTCCTTGCTAGGGAGCTTTGTCTTGTCCGCCCCCCTCTTCCTCTGTGCTGCACAGGTATGTGCGGAAATTTCTGCCAGCTTCCTGCATTCAGCACTTCCTGGTGCCAGCCTCCATCCAGCTAACACCATACAGCTCCCACCTGGAACACGCACAGACGGAGGAGGAGAAAGAGTCAGGACCCTCCGAATGTAGTCTAGAGAGACCCAAACACCACAGAGATGAGCCTCCAAGAGTCTCCGATTGAATGAAACCCATCTTTAGAACCTTGTACGGTTTCTTAAACCTTGAAAACTCATAAGGCCTAGGAAAGACTTAGGGGTTATCTGGATTGAAGATATGGGTATCATAGTATGGAAAATGAGACGAAAAAACATGAAGCTGTCTATACAAGAGGTAAGGGTGTCAATGGTTTTACATGACTAACAGGACTTACTGGCTGAATGACGTGTGCATTCCTTTGTAGTACCTATCTCTTCATATGTGATTTAGGGTACAAAAAAGGCCACACCTCAAATATAAGTTAAGGAGAACATTGACTATGTCCTAAAAGATACAGAGAGAACACAAAGGCACAGGCATCTCATCCAGATGAAGGAGGCCAGAGGTCAAAATGGTGTCCAAGGATCCAAATTAGGAAGCTAGTTACATAGGGCAAGGAACAAAGAGATTGGCCACAAATGCGTGGTTGGTGCTGCCAAGACATCACAGTTACAGCTAGGGATACAGAAGCAGGACTGGGGTCCTGATTGGGACACGTACATTGTTAGATGGAAGAGCTTAAAGATTGGTCCAGGGTCTTCTGACTACGATGTGAGCCCCCTGTCCAGTGCCCAATACAGAGACCTCTATCTGGATACACACAGGCAAGACCCTAAGAGA